GTCCTGAGCTGCAGGCACCATTGTTTGGACTTTTCCTCATCATCTACCTGATCACATTGGTTGGCAACTTGGGCATGATCGTCCTCACCATGGTGGATTCCAGGCTGCAAACACCCATGTACTTCTTTCTCAGACACCTCGCTACTGTAGATCTTGGTTATTCAACTTCTGTGGGACCCAAAATGTTAAGAAATTTTATTGTAGATCAGAATACAATACCATTTTATTTTTGTGCAACCCAAATGTTTTTCTTTGATATGTTCATTGTTGCTGAATTTTTTATTCTCTCTGCAATGTCTTATGACCGTTATGTGGCCATCTGCAAACCACTCCTCTACACTGTCATTATGTCACAAAGAGTATGCTGGATACTGGTCACCATTCCCTACCTCTATGGTATATTTGTCTCACTTCTGCTTACCATAAAGATTTTCACTATGTCCTTCTGCGGCCCCAATGTTATCAGACATTTCTACTGTGATGGTCTCCCCTTGTTGTCTTTGGCCTGCTCAAATACTCATGAAATTGAGGTGATAATTTTAATATTATCAGCTTTTAATTTGCTTTCTTCTGTTCTGGTGGTCATTGTGTCCTATGTATTCATCCTTGCAGCTATTCTCAGGATGAACTCAGCTGAGGGCAAAAGAAAGGCTTTCTCTACCTGCGGGTCCCACCTGACAGTAGTCGCTATCTTCTATGGGACTTTGATATTCATGTATTTGCAGCCTATGTCCATTCATGCCTTTGACACTGACAAAGTGACTTCCATATTTTACAGTCAGATTATACCTATGCTGAATCCCTTAATCTATAGCTTGAGGAACAAAGATGTAAAAGATTCTCTTAAAAAAACAGTGGAAAAACTCTGCAATATTGTCTGGTAGATTTTCTATATTGTTAAAAGTAATCCAAATAATTCACAATAGTGAAGTAAACATCAACAATGGGAAAGAAGATAGAAGATATTCTCTCTCTCTCTCTCTCTCTCTCTCTCTCTCTATATATATATATATACATATATATGTATATATGTGTGTGTGCGTGTGTGTGTATTCATGTATTACACATACATATGTGTGTTTGTGAAAAATAAATAAACATAGCAGCACAAAAGCTTTGCTTCAGAAGAAAAGTACAACAGAAGAGCTAACAACAGTAAAGCCTATGTGTAAATGAAGGGAATAAGATTTCTCAGGAGGGTTTAAATGGATATTGTATTTTGGATTTTACAATAAATCACTCAATATTAACATGTGTCTTGGTTTTACTTCCTGCAAGTTCACTCTTTATATTTTAGTACTTTTACACATGTGTAAGTAGATATAAAATCAAACTTTATCAGTCTATCAAGAGGTGATATGGGGGGCTGGAGAGATGGCTCAGAGGTTAAGAGCATTGCCTGCTCTTCCAAAGGTCCTGAGTTCAATTCCCAGCAACCACATGGTGGCCCACAACCATCTGTAATGGGGTCTGGTGCCCTCTTCTGGTCTGCAGGCATACACACAGACAGAATATTGTATACATAATAAATAAATAAATATTTTAAAAAAAAAAGAGGTGATATGGGTTTCTTAGATAATAAGTTCTCATTCATATCAATGTGCTCAACTATCCACATCCACCGAGATACAATGTTCTGATCTCTCATTGTTCCTTTACTTTTTAAAATTCATCCACAATTGGTTATTTCTTATATTTTACATACTGGCAATTACACATTATGTCTCAGTAAGCAGGACAACACACATTTATCTCTGAGAACCTAGCTTCAATAATTTTTCATAAGTATAAGCTGAAATATTGGCTTATACAATAAAAAACTAAATCATAGTTTAATACAAATTGATCCTGTAGTTTATATAACCATCAAACATCACTTCATTAGGCTCCCAGCAATTACTTGGTAATAATAACTTCTCCTCAGGGAGAATCTCTATGGTTTAGAACACACATAAATAGATCTCAGAAGCCCATGCTAAGAACCACAGTGGGAAATGAAAGCAGGAGTCTCACAGAAGGTAACAAAGTGTCACACCGAGCTCTCTAGTTTAACCATAAGGAGATGTGGGCACCCTTTGCTATGCTTTCCCCATCTAGAGTTTCTTATTGTGGTTTGGTGTCTGTTCTAATATTCCTCAATGGCTGGGAAACAAAAATACCTCTTAATTTCTCTATTTAATATTTTTTGAACATATTAACTGAAGTTGAGAGGACTAATGCTATTATCTATCTTTTAATCATACAAAGAAAATTTTTCTTAGATATTTTTCTTATATAACATCTCATTTCTGTCTTCCTTTTTCTAAATATCTCCCTCTCTGTGTATCTGTCTGTCTGTCTCTATCTCTATCTTTCTCTCTTTCTCTCTCTCTCTCTCTCTTCTTCGCTGCCACATACACATATAAAGAGATTTATAACGAGTAAAGGGCCTAAAAGAAAAGAGATAGTAAATAACAAAGTAATTCCAACAAAGAGAAGAATTTGAGAACACAAGTGTTAAGTTTATTTTATGTTGTCTTTAAAACTTCAGTTATATTTGACTCGAGATTACCCTGAGTATTTAAAAAAATATTCTAATCCAGATTGGTTGAGCATCTAGGACAAAGATAAGAACTCTCCAGAGACTGAAAGGAGAGAGAGGGGGCAATTAGAACAATGGGTGATGACAAATATGAACGGAAACGCCTTAAATAAGTGAATTATGTTAAACTAACTTAAATAATTGAATCTTTAACAAGTAATTTTTATGGATGAACTATATAGTTGTGATTGCTTTTCATTCTTTAAAGTTTTTACATTTATTTACTATTTTTATGTGTGAGGGCCCCTGTGCAGAGATCAGCGAAATAGTGCATTAGTCAGTTTTCCCTTCCGTGTTTGTGTCCTCAGGATCACACTCAGGTTCACACACTCAGATGTTTACCTCTGGACATATCTCTCTGACCTGTTTCCTAAACCTTTGATGAAGGAAGTGGATTTGTATCTGAACACGGTTGTAAATGCATTACTTTCTTCATTGTTTTTGCTAGAAACTATTCATTTTCCTGAGATTATAGATTTGAAAAATAACATTTAAGTAAATCAGTGAACAAAATAATCTACAATAAAGTATTCTTTTCTTTTCATTGAATCCTAAATGTGTTCAGAGGAAAACCTTCTTGTCATTACCTATAAGAAAGTTCACAGTCAGTGATTGAAAATCAAACCAATACAAAAGGAACAAAGAGGGGGTGTTTCAATTATACAACAATTGATAGTTTTACATGTTTACTATATGAAGGGTACATATTGAGCATGGAATAATATAGTTAGCCACAGTTTAAAACAACTGTAAGTGACTGAGGTATAAATGAAATGCAATCACCTGTACACACAACAGTGAGCTCCGTAGTATATGACTGCCATTCTCTCAGAGGCTGCAGCTTTCACTGTGATTGCCACTGTAAGTCATCTTATTTTACCCAGCAAACCTTGACACATACACATGCTTACAAAACTAACAAATGTTTCCTTCCTTCTGTCTGTGGCATTGGAAGCATTCAGATAAGCCTTCTTGAAGTGTAGAAATTTAATGTGTTCTGTGTGATATTTGGAAGGCTTTCTGTCCCTCACTTTTATTCAAGCAAATGCCATCATACTACACTTTGATTGCTTTATATCTACACCGCAGTTAAAGTTTAATCCAGTATCAAGCACTGAACATCTATCACAGCATTGGGCACCCATATTTAGAAATGCTACTACTAAAAATTATACTATTGAAATACATGACCTCTTAGTCAATGGAAAATATTGAGAGGTCATTAATTAGACAATTTTAATAAAATTGCTCACTTATATTTCAGATTTCTTCATGGTTTGTGGGTTCTAAGGAATATAGGAATTGCATTATAAGAAAAAGTGTTCTTTCAAGAAGAGAATAATTTATATAAATGGGACTATTTAATTTTTTATTGTTTTTTTAAGTTTCATATGCGTTGTTTTTTCCTTTATTGAAAATAGATTATTTTCTCACATACTATATCCTTATTAAGTTTATTGACAATATAATGAATAAAATAATAATACAAAATGATAACAAACTATGAATATCTCCTCTTGTCTACTCAAGCTACATACTGTGGTAGTTGATGTACATTCTGTTTTTTCGACCAACTCTTCATTTGTTCATCTTTTCAGATCTAACAAAGAAGTAGAATTCTTGTGTGTATGATACACTTATACGAAAAGTACTTTAAGGTAGGTTTGTGTGCCTAGTGACTGTTTAAAATTCATGTTCTTTGTGACTATAGCTCAAGTGCACAGATTTGTTGAATCATTTACTTCTGCTTCAAGTTTTCAATAGTCCATAGAGAGAAAGATAGACCTGTTGATTTTTTATATGCCAGAAAAGTATTTTATACAACTCAACTAATCTTCTTGGGAATACTTGTATATATAGATGGTGTTTAAGAGGATGGCAATGTTTGTGAAAATACAACTATTTACAATTTGAAGATTTTATGTAGTATTTCCATATATATATACGGAATATATATCCATTTATATATGTACATATCTCTGTATACCAATATTCTCAGATGCAGAGGGTATTTGTTTTTGAGGTTGGATGATTCCTGGGGTACACTTTTGATACTTAATGATGGCTCTTAGATTAACTAATGTCTAATATTGGATAAAAAGGATGGTTTCCATCACAGTTGGGAAAAGCATGCATCTTTGCAAAGATGTTATTCTGTTTAAAACTTTTATTTATAGAGATCCAAAGATTCATAAATATGTTTTTATTTGTTTCAAATCATGTATTTGCATATGTATGTGTATACATGTGTTTAAGATTGTATTACACATTCAAAAGTAGATTTGTTTTAAGACTAAATTCAAATATTTGGAGATATTTCATTAAAACTTATTAGAAAAATAAAAACCCACAAAATGATATTTGAAATAAATTGACTGTGCAATCATCTCTACTCAAAACAGATTTGTGATAAACCCAGATGGAGACCCACAACCTTACAGTGGTGACTGAGTTCATCCTCATGGGCATCACTGACCGCCCTGAGCTGCAGGCACCATTGTTTGGACTTTTCCTCACCATCTACCTGATCACATTGGTTGGCAACTTGGGCATGATCGTCCTCACGATGGTGGATTCCAGACTGCAAACACCCATGTACTTCTTTCTCAGACACCTCGCTACTGTAGATCTTGGTTATTCAACTTCTGTGGGACCCAAAATGTTAAGAAATTTTATTGTAGATAAAAATACAATATTATTTTATTTTTGTGCTACCCAGTTGTCTTTCTTTAGTATGTTCATTGTTAGTGAATTTTTTATTCTCTCTGCAATGTCTTATGACCGTTATGTGGCCATCTGCAAACCACTCCTATACAATGTCATTATGTCACGAAGAGTATGTTGGGTCCTGGTGGCAATCCCATATCTTTATAGTATATTTGTTGCACTCATTGTCACCATAAATATTTTCTCTTCATCCTTCTGTGGCCACTATGTTATCAGTCATTTCTATTGTGATGGTCTCCCATTAACATCTTTGCTGTGCACAAATAAAGAGGAAAGTGAAATGATAATTTTAATCTTATCAATTGTTGACTTGATTTCTTCTCCAGTTGTCATCCTTGTCTCCTATCTGCTCATTCTCAGAGCTATTCTCAGGATGAACTCTGCTGAGGGCAGACGCAAGGCTTTTTCCACCTGTGGGTCCCACCTGACAGTGGTCACTGTCTTCTATGGGACTTTGATATTTATGTATGTGCAGCCTAAGTCCAGTCACTCCATCAACACTGACAAGGTAGCTTCCATCTTTTACACCATGGTCATCCCTATGTTAAATCCCTTGATCTATAGTTTGAGGAACAAAGATGTCAAGCAGGCCCTAAGAAGGACAGGGAAAAGAATACAAAATATCTTCTCCTAAAAATCAAAGGTAGAAAATGTTGTCATACTTCACCAGAAATAAATTTACATGAGTTATACGTTTCAGAGAAGAAAACATTAAAAGCTAATGCTTCTCTGAAGAGGAGACAGATTATAAACAAAGCATTTGAAATAAATGAAGTAGCAGAAAGAATATATTTTAAAGTGTTTAAATCTAAACAGGGTAACAATGTGTTTGCTGTATGTGATGAGACAGGTGTCTCAGATAATTTAAATTTATTTTGTGAATTAAACTTTACAATAAATTGTCTGGTGTTCACAAGTATCTGACTTTTTGCTTTACCTGCACTGTTATTATTTACATACAGTTGGTATTCATATGTTTTTCTATAAACTCTTAAAAACCTTGATCCCAATGTTAGGGAACCACTTTGAGACGGAGATCCCTGTAAACCACAGCACTCAGAAGACTTCTTTTCAAATGGAAACTTATGCCCTGATTTTACATCACTTTTCTTTCACTCACATCCTATATAATGCAATAGCAATATTTAATGTCATGCATTAGTAGTTCATAAGTTAAATGTATCATCTAATATGGTGTAAGTCCAAGCACACATGTCTGGGTTTCTGTGTTTGTGTGTTTATGCTGACTTAAAATTTTTATGGCAGCTTTTACCCCCTTTGTCTTGTAACTGAATAAATCTTAATACCTTAGTTTATATTTTTCTTTTTTTCTTTCTTTTTTTTTAAAGATGTATTTATTTATTATGTTTACAGTATTCTGCCTGCATATATTCCTGCGGGCCAGAAGAGGGCACCAGATTTCATTACAGATGGTCGTGAGGTGATAGTTTTAACATTATCAGCTTTGAATTTGCTTTCTTCTCTTCTGGTGGCCATTGTGTTCTTACTATTCATCCTCAGAGCTATTATTCTCAGAGTGAAATCAGCTGAGGGCAAAAGAAAGGCTTTTCTCTACTTATGGTTCCCACCTGACAGTAGTAGCTGTCTTCTACAGGACTTTAATATTTATATATTTGCCCCCTATGTAAATTCATTCCTTTGACACTGATAAAGTGACTTCCATCTTTTACACCCAGGTAGCTCCATGTTAATTCCCTTAATCTATAGCTTGAAGAACAATGTTATATATGATGCCCTTAAAAAAGTTGAAAAGCTATGCAATATTGCCTTATAGAGTGTATATTGTTGAAAGCTATCTATATAATTCACAATAGAAAATAAGTATTCATAAAAGGAAACGTAGAAGATATGCTCTTTAAAGAGAAATGAAATGTCAAAGACCAGCCTTGATGAAATCTGTACATTTCAGGGTAGGAGGGCAAAAATTAGCATTATTAAGCAAAAGGTACAGAAATATATGAGAAATAAGAGACAGGAACACTCGACATTCAGTGTATACTGAATCCTGAATCCTCCAGGTTTATTTTCCATATGCTTATATACTTCACTTCAAAAGGGGAGGGCGAGATGTAACAGACTTCGTTAACAGGATATAAGGGAGATGTAACAGACTTCATTAACAGGATATAAGGAGTAGATACGAATTCCCTGACCTTTGATCCAGGTGGAGCAGATCCACCTCTATACCCGAAATACTAATTAACCACACCCTAGGTCAGAATCTCTCCTTGTAGCCACACCTGTTGTCAACAACTATGAGCAAGCAAAAGTAAGCTCAAACTCTCTGACCTCCAGTCGAGGTGGAACAGGCTCACCTGTATTGGTCTCCACAGTCAGATTATTTGTGTATATATGTATGTATGTGTACATGTAATACATATATATGGAAGAATAAACATAGCACAGAAGCATTGCTTTAGTATGAAAGGACAATAGAAGAGCTGCCAGGGTAAAAGTGTGAATGTGTGGGAGGAGAATATGAGTTGCTGGAGGATTTATTGGATATTATATATTGGATATTGTAATAAATCATTCAATGTTAACATGCAACAGTCTTACTTCCTATAAGTGCATTCTCTCTCTCTCTCTCTCTCTCTCTCTCTCTCTCTCTCTCTCTCTCTCTCTCTCTCTCTCTCTCTCTTACTTTTTCAAGACAGGGTTTCTCTGTATAACAGTTGTAGTTCCTGGAACTAGCTTTTGTAGACTAGGTTGGCCTCAAACTCATGGACATCCAAATGTCTCTGCCTCGCAATTGCTGAGATTAAAGGTGGTGCAACATGCGTTTAATGCCAGCATGTGGGAGGCAAAAGTGGGCAGATCTTTGTGAGTTTGAGACCAACCTGGTCTACAAGAGCAAGTTCCAGGACAGGCTCCAAAGCTACAGAGAAACCCAGTCTCGAAAAATAAATATGAGGTGATTGGAAAAAGTTAAACTTTATCAGTTTATCAGGAGGTGAAATATATTGCTTAGATATTAAGGCCTTATTTATCTGACTGTAATATGGAAAGATGAGTACCCACCCAGCAATCTAGGTTCCCCTCTCCCTGCCTCTCTGCTTATCCCTCCCTCCCTCCCTCCTTCCCTCTCCCTCTTCTCAAAAATAAAAACAAAAAACAAACTAAGAAACAATAGAAAGAAATGAGGACAAACAAGAAAAAAACAACAACTACAACAACAACAACAACAAAAAAAAAAAAACGACCAAACCAAAGAAGCTTTCCCACTGTAGAGCTATTTGGTAATTATTCTTTCCAACTCCTCACTTTCTCTGGTAACTAGAAATAATTTTTCTAACCCTGTTTATTCCTGTTGTGTTTATTTTTTTGTGAATAATTCATGGTAAAGGTGACCTTAGTTTTTTGACGACATTTAAATAGTACAATATTTTCAACACCTGTACCTAATGAACCATGTGTTCATTCAAACATATAGAGAAATGTACATAAGTAGATTTTTGGATTATAGAATAGATGTATAAATAAATGAATTAAGTCATAGTTGAATAACAGCTTTCCCTGATAATTAGTAACCTCTAGACATCTAATTAGACTCTCAAATTATTTAAATGTGATCACTGATCTCCTTAGAAGATCCATAGGGAGAAGGAATTCTGTGCTTTCAAATAAAGCATAAATTGACCTAAAAACCCATTTTAAGAACCACATTAGACATTCAAGACAGTGGTTTCATACAGGTAACAGAGTGTGATCTAGCCATTTATGTCAGCAAGGATTTGGCATATTTTAAATTTTATCCTTTCCCAGCAGTCTCTAAGTGTCCATTTCTACCATCAGTTATGTGCTTTCTAAATTCTCTAGGGTGCTCTCAGTTTCTCTTCATGATAATTTTAAATACTTGTATCTAAAGAATGTCAATTCATTTAAGCATATTTGAAAATTACTCAGTAATATATCAAGAGTTTTAATGTGAGTATATGTCATAGGCATATTATTAATTTTTCTTTCACAAATCAAGTATAAGACATGCTGGTTTTGTATATGCTAATCATAGATTTTGGTGAACTGTTTGTCAAATTTATGATTATTTACAGTATATGAAAATATGCCATATGTAATTTATGTATACATAATATGCCATATATAATGATGAGTTGGATTTTTATATGATCTAAATATGAATTTACTATTTTGATATTTTAATGAAGAATTTGAAAAATTAGGAGTCCATATCACATTCTGTGCCTTTCTAAATTTCAGTAATTTTTGCTACAGGACCTCTGAAGTAATACTTGTTTGTAAATATATGCATGTAATCAGAGTCTAAATTATTCAAAAGGTAAATGAAACGTTCAGGTCATCAAAGGTGTGCCTATCATAATTTGAGCATGAGATGATGTTTTTCCTGTTTTATGATTATGAAAACTTTGTTTTACATTTGAATTCTGATTTGTTTAGAGTTTGCAAAGCAATCTTACAGTACTCAGTAAAAATAGTCACTCTTAAAAAGATATTTGGTTCTTGTGTTGAATCTTAAATTTACAAAGAGGAAACAGCTTTAGCTATTTAAAATGTGTTTTATAGCTTCTTTTTTAAAGTTTAATTATTGCTGTAAAAGTACTGAAATAAAACAATAAAATGGAAACAAACCTTTTGTTTAAGGCGTTTGCTAGTTATAATGTACTGTATGTTTTTATATATGGAAGGTATCTGGGGATATAAAATACAACCAAAAATTAAGTAAGGAGAGAAAATTAAATATATTTTTATATAACACTGTAAAATATTTGTCCTTACTGCTCATTTAGAGATTACATAGTTATACCCAGCATCTTCACTAAGAACTACATCAATTGTAATCTCTTTTTATTCAGTAAATGCTGATGTTTGAAACATTCAACAAAATTGATAATTTCTACTCCTATGTATTTTTAATCTATGAACCATGAGATGTGGGATGCATTCTTATATATATATGAATATATATATATATATACATTCTTATATATGCATTCTTATATATACATATATAATGATATATAGGTGTGATTTTTAGAAATTACCTTGATGTTTTCTGGATTATAGTTGCCTAAAAATGTGTACATAATACAAAAGAAGATTTCCAGGAAGATTTCAAATAATATCAAATTATCTGTTCAATAAATTAAAGCTTTATTTAATTTTATCTTTATAGTGCTGCTTAAAATATAAAATATGTGTAACATGAAGTATTAAATATTATTATTATAGACCGTAAGCTTCTTTTTTTGTAAAAGGAGAATTTTGAGTCTTCGCTATTAAATCAATACTAAAACCCATTCTTCCTAATTTGCTCAGACATCTTTAAATGTTTGTAAGTTCTTTACTGTAATATACAAATAAATTTATCAAAATTATATTGAAACAAATATTAAAGAAAATTTTATACGCCACATATTTATATCATGTACACATATTTTTTAATTGAGGATTATACAAATACGCAGAAAGCAACTGAAACGCAGCACACAATTCCATACTATTTAGTTTTGGCACAGTGAAGACAAAGCCCAAAATAGGTCCAGTGAAAAGCAAGAAGTTTGACCTAATTACCCAAATAATTATCATTTCAGATCCATAAAGAGTTCAGTACTGGCCAGTGGGATGTGCAAAAAA